GCGTGGCACTGCTGGGCTCAGGAATGCTTTTTGCAGCAGGCAAGGCAGAGCCTAAGAACACGGGTAACGGCAGTACCCAGCTCCCGATGGCCAGTGAGCCATGCTGGCAGGTGGGGCCCTGGCAGGAGAGAAAAGGTCTTTGAACCCAAGGTCGGTTTGCTTCTTCCTGACAAGCATCCACAGTGTCCAGGACCTATGGTGAGGTCGGATTTCTTACCTGTCTGGGGACCATGGTCAGCAGCAAGTGTACTGATCAATGTCTTGATTTTGAGACAGTCTTGCTGTGCTGCCCAAGCTGGCTTTGAACTTGTGGAGGTCCTCCTGCCTCAGCCTCTGGGGTGCTCACCATAGTTGGCTGGTGTACATTTTTTCTTCCTCTTTTTTTTCAGGGTCTCGCTTTGTAGCCTAGGCTGACCTCGAACTCTCAGCAACCCTCCTGCCTCAGCCTCCCAACCCCTGGGATGACAGGTATGCACTGCCACACCAGGTTTTGTCAAAGAAAGTTGGCCTTGTTAGCCCTGTACTCCATGTCTATAAATAGAAGTCTGCTGGGCACTGGATTTGCTGTACTGAGACTCCGCATCTGCTGAGCTTCTCTGAAAATGTCTAAAAGGTGCCTTGCAGGGTCTGGACGGCTGCTAGGCACGCAGACTCCCTAGTGCTCACAGCGCCCGGTCCCCACCCACCACTCCTCAGCACACCCCCGGTGACCCAGCCCTGCTGGGAGCGGATGTTGAGCCACTGAGTCTGCCTGAGGGCACCGTGGTGTCCTGCAGGGCGGTGGTCCTTGGCAGCTGCTCCTGGACAGCAGGTGCACAGGAGGGACGTGTACAGGGCTCCGGTGTCCTCAGGTGTGTCCCGCCCACCACAGGCTGGCTCTGGAGGGTCGAAGACGTCAGCCCTGCTGGGCTTAGGGCTAAGCTAGGCTGTGATGGAGGTGGCCACCAGGGCGCTGTGCCATCGGTGCCAAGAGCCCAGTGAAGGGAGCCATGTGTGGTGGGGCAAGGGGTAGCACTGCCCTCCCTGGAGTCCCTGTCTCGGTAAATGACAGGTGTGTCACGCAGCTTTGGGTTGCTGTGACAAAATGCCCGAGAGAAACAACAGAAAGGAAGAAAGGCCTGGCCACGGAGGTCCGGTCTGTGGCTGGTGGGGCTGGTGGGGCTGGTGGGCTGCACCTGTTGGCAGTAGGGGACAGGGCTGCAGCTGGTGGTGGCCACAAGGAGCAGAGACAGGAAGGAGGAGACAGGGCGAGGCTGCTCTTCCTGGTGACACAGGTCCAGGCCCCTCTGGACCAGCGCACAGTGACAGCCCCTCAGGCAGAGATGGCGGAGCTGCTGAGCCACCGCAGCTGTCAGCGCACACCACACATCCTTCAGGTGTGCCATGTCCCCAGGTTAGCCTCCCCCACAGCAAGGCATAGCCTGACCAGAGATGCAGAGCCAGGAGAATGTCTTCAGGCCAGACATCCTACATCACCTCCCTAAGGGACACAGCCCAGACCACGCATGTCTGTCCCCATCTCTGAGCACGCGCACATGCTGCTGCCTCTGCCCGCCCACCTGCCTTTTGAGCCTGAACTCTTCTCTGATGTGTGCATCTGCATCTTTCACCTCTGAGGATCTGCAGTGCCTTCCTGCCTTGTCCAGGACGCTCTCCTGCTGCTGTCCCCACCCGTGGGCATCCTCCAATCCCACACAGTGACAACCAAGATGAACCCACTCGTGCCAGCCCCCGCCCACCCCGCGCTGCTGTGCACACTGCTGCTTGGGGCACAGCTCCTCCAACACCAGCCTGTGGGGACATCTGGAGCACACTTCAGCAGCTGTCCCCACTTGCTTGTCCCCTCCCTGGGCAGCCAGCTTGTGGGCACAGAGCCGCTCTGTCCACAGTCCACACTGCCCATACTGGTCACCATGGTCTCTGAGTGGCCACAGCTGGCCCGGCCTGTGCTGCCCCCTGCAGGCCAGCGGGAGGGCATTGCAGACAGCATTGCCAGGACACCACAGAGGGACCGCCGTTAGTTCCCACTGGCCAGGTGTCCCCAGCTCATGCTGCCCTGCACTTTATGAGACACTGCTGCACGCTTCCCCAGTGACAGTGACGTGTGAGGCCGGAAGAGCAGGCATCACCTTGCCCTTGCTCACTTTTCCAGCAGCTGCCTCTGAGGAGTCCTGGGTGGCGGCCACTTCGCTGGGCCCCGCTTCCGATGGCCTGTCTGTCCCATCCCCTTCTCTTCCCCTGGCTTTTAAGCCGGAGCCTGAGCTCAGGGCCTCACGTGACACGCTGTGTCCTCAGTCCTTGTCTTATGTTTTCACTAGGTTGCCAGGCCATGTACTTCTGCCTCAGCCTTCCGGAGTGCTAGGATGACTGACCGGCGGGCCTGCCTGCCACCCACTCAAGTCTCCCATTTGGCCTGCTCGCTGTAACAGAAGCCAGAGGACCTGCCGTCCTTTCACACATCGCAGACTGAGCTGCTCCTCCGGGGCCCTGGAAACCCCAGCAGGGCTCAGGGCGAGGCTTGCAGCCTTTAGGCCCCAGCACCCGTGCCACGTGTGAAGAACTCATTTAAAAAATGGGATCCTGGGGCCAGGAAGATGGCTCAGTGGAATAAGCGCTTTCCTGGCAAGCTCAAGGGTCTGAGTTCAATCCCCAGTCCCGCAAAAATAAAATAAAATAAATAAAAATTAAAAATGGGATCTAGGGGGCCTGGGAAATGGCTCAGTGGAATAAGTGCTTCCCTGGCAAGCACAAGGGCCTGAGTTCAATCCCCGGTTCTGCAAAAAAAAAAAAAAAAAAAAAAGGGATCTAGTAAAAGATGCAGCCTGCGAATCTCTCTCCGAATCCTCCCCCAGCTCTGCACACCCTTCTCGCCATCCCGGCCACTTCCCACAGTGGCTGTTGCATCTTGTCTCCTGAGGGTCTTCTGTTGCACTGTCCTGGCTGCCTCAATGTCCAGAGTGGATTCAAAACGTTTCCCTTTCGAGGTCATTTTGACTCTGGAGGAGTCAAGTCACTCAGTGCCAGACGCAGTGAGGGGGGCGCTGGCACAGCAGCATGCTTTCAGGAGCTGCCTTTCCATTTTCTACCCACTCCCCCTTTGGAGACAGGCTCTCTCTTTGCAGCCCAGGCTGCCTTGAACTCACTTTGTAGCCCAAGCTGGTCTCTGCAATTGCAACGATCCTCCTGCCTCAGCCTCCCGAGTGCTGGGATTACAGATGTGCGCCGCCACGCCTGGCTCAGGAGCTGCATGTCCACGGGATGACACCCAGCACTGGCAGCAGCAATCGTGTTATGAAAGCCCTCAGGAAAAAGCCCTTCCAGATCCAGAGGGGCCCACAGAGACCCTCTGGGCTCAGATGATGCTTTCTTTAAGGGGACACAGAGGAAGTCCCCCTGCCCATGTGACATGCAGGATGGGGCCCTAGGACACAGTGCTGTCGCCCCAGCCTGCAGAGACCATGCAGAGCCCTGGGTTTGGTGGCCCTGCAGGCCGGCTGGCAGGGTGAGGCTGAGGCGGCTCCCAAGCCCTGGGCAGCCCTCAGAGGGTTCTCTGGAGGGATCCTGTGCTTTGCGCATGCTCTGGACGTCCCTCCTCAGCTCTCGGTCCCCGCGTGGGGTTGCGAGCTTCTCCTGTACCTTGTAGGCTGTTCAGCCTCCAAAAGCATGAAGCTAGAAGCCACCCCTCCTCCTGTGTAGCTGGCCTCCGCTCGGCCCTAGAATGAGGCCCGCTGCAGACCAGCTACAATCCCAGGCCGATGCAGAGAAGCACACAGAAATTTAGCCAGGAGAAAGAGGCAGCATTTTAATACACCCCAGGGACAGCACAGAGCCGCCTCCCTGGAGTGAGGCCCGGTGTCACCCAGGCTCATGGGGTCCTCAGAAACCAGACCCTCCCACCTCCTGGACTTCGCAGACCCCAGGGGCTCGGAGGCACAGCGGGGGCAGCAGGGTTGGCCTTTAACACTGACTGACAGTGGGCAGCTCCTGCTCTCGGGTGTGAGATCCAAAGGGACCCAAAGAGCACGATGTTTAGTCCTTTCCTCCTTCCACTGCTCCTGCTTGGACACCAGCGCTGCTCCCACCAGGGGTCTCAGGGACCCCCAACATCTTAACCAGCCTTGCCACCACTAGGCAGTCTTCAGGGTGACACCGGCTGGCGGCTCCCCACAGCCCCCTACACCACACCAAGAAGGGCTGATGATGCCCTCGGGGACAGCAGGGCCCAGGAGATGGCAAGCAGACTGGCCCCGGGCCCTAAGCACCCGCCTTTGAGAACCTAGGGCGCAGTGGGAGGCCCTGCTCCCCGGGGCATCTTCCCTGTCTGTGTGTGTGTGGGGGGGATTTGCACAAGAGGCTTTAGGAGAGAGCTCATTGGCGGACAGCCTGGCGCAGCTCAGATCTGGGCAGTGTGCGTGTGGCCAGGCAGTAGCTGGGGTGGAGGCAGGGCTAGGACTCACTCGGTGGGGGCGAGGGGGACACGCAGCGGAGAGCACCCCGCCCACCTGCTCCGCTGCACCAGAGCGCAGCCCTCCTCCACCTACGCCCCGAAGTCCCATGAGCAGAGGCCTGGTCTCTAAAGGACGGTAACTTCCTGGGACGCAGCTCACTGTGCCAGTCCTCCCTCCCTCCCTGCACGTGGGGACACCCGCACCACCAGCCTCTGCCACGGTCTGTGCGTCTTCAAGCAAATCCTGGTGGGACTCGAGTTCCCCGCCGTCACCAGAAGCCAGGAAACAGGGCGTGCCCTGGCGGTGACTCGCGTTCTCCCGCTCGGTCTGCGTGTAAGAGCCCGCCAGCTCCAGGCTCTCCAGAGCACCCAAAGTCCGCTCTGACCCCACAGGCGTCTTCCACAGGGCGTCTACGCACCTGGCTGGATGAGACGCGCAGACTGCTTCCCGGGGGGGCCAGGTGCGCGCGCTTGGGCCGCAAGGGTGGAGTCGGAGCCGACGCGGCGGGCGGCAGGGGGTGACCGGGGCGACCCCATGGCAGGGCCGTGGCCGGCAGGCTCTTCTCGGTGGGACGCGTCCCAGGAGGTGCTGGCTGTGCTGCCTTAGTTCTGCGGCGGTCTCTCTGACCCCGGGCGCCCAGCCTGCTCCGCATGGGCCCGCAGGAGCCCCGCGATTTCTGCATGGCCCGGCGACTGCAGTGCAATGGATAAGGCCGTGTGGCCGGCCTGCGGGGGGAAGCAGGAGAGATGGTGTTATTCCAGCGGCGGGTGCAGTGGGGTTTACACCAAACACACAGAAGCCACAGGAGGGGGTGACGCCAGAAACAAAGGACCAGCTCTCCCAGCTGACCGCAGTAAGGAAGGCCACCTGGCTTTTATACTTTTTTCGCCAGGGCTCCCATATTTAGGCAAGCGCTATACCCTGAGTTACCTCTCCAGTGTTTTAAGTTTTGAGACAAAGTAACTTTCCTAGGCTGGCCTTCTACTTGGGATACTCCTGCCTCAGCCTCCTGTTCCCAGAACTCTGCAGTCTCAATGATGACTTCTTGGAGGTCAAAGGTACCCAAGGATGTGAGGACCCTTAGCAGCCCAGGGCGTGCTCGTAGTCACTGGGTTCTGTGATGCTGGTCTCTCGTGTACTGCAGAACATGAGCAGAGCCAGTAGGCAGTGGCAGCAAGCCCTGCCTCCTGTTCTCTGCCATGCCTGCAGCATCACGTCTGGAAATGGGAGGCATTCGCTCCAGGGACCCGCAGGAGTTGACCCAGGCCTGGGAGGGAGCCCTCACCACTGCAGTCCTACAGCCTCATGGGCAACTTAGTGTGACAGGGTGGCTGCCAGGGGTGGCGGTGGCATCCGGGCACCCAAAGCCTGGTGCATGGCCTGCGACTCCCTGGACCTTGACCCCTGATGCTCTTCCAGCAGCAGTGTGGGGTGCCAACTAGGGTCAGAGAGCTCGGCAGTGTGCACATCCGGGTTTGTCAGACCCCACGAGGAGAAGCCTGGCAGGGACCAGGCAGGACATGGACCTGCAGCTCAGCCTCACCAGTGCTCAGGCTTGGTTCTGGACCCGGAGACACTGGTTGGCGGCTGCTGGCAGCCGAGGAGGGAGGAGCAGCCTGGGCTGCAGGAGGACCAGGGTTCCTGACAGCTGGAGGCTTCTGTGTGCTGAGGAGACTGGGACAGCACTCCCCAAACTGGGCGCCGCTCACTGGCGATACCTGTACTCACACTGAGGAGGCTGAAGCACAAGGACCAGAGTTTGAGGCCAGCATGGGCTACAGTGAGCTCAAGGCCAGCCTGATCTGCATAGCACAACCCTGTCTCAAAAAGTCAAAACAAAACAAAACAAAAAACAAAAATCAGCTGAGAGGCGTGTCAAGCTGGCTGGCACCGTGGCCCAGGCTGCCTTACAGTGCCTGTGTACCTGAGGAATGTCCCTTCAGTGACCTCACGGGTGCCTGTCAGGCTGTCCTTGCCCAGGCTACACCATCCCCTGCACAGCTGAGCTGGCCTGTCCACATGCTATCTGCGGTGGCCCGGGGGTCAGATGGCCAGCCTACAGCTCACAGGGTGGGGCGTGGGGCTCAGCTGTGGCTGTCCTGGCTCCCAGGCCCCAACTCCCCAACATACCACCTCATCTCCGCCCACCCCCCCCTGCCATCTCACCTTGTCAGCGAGGCTACTGTCACAGGACGGCTGGGCCAGGAGCAGCCGCACCAGGTCTGCGTTGCCGTGGCGACAGGCCAGCATGAGGGCCGTGGCACCCTCGTGGTCCTGCAGATTGATGTCCGCCCGGCAGCGAAGCAGCGCGCGTACCATGTCCCCACGGTCGTGGCTCACCCCCAGCATGAGCGCTGTCTGGCCTCCCTGTGGTGACCAAGGATGCATGAGCCAGGCCTGCCTGCACCCACCTTTGTGGCCACCAGGGCCCTGCTCTCAGGCACAGGGATGCCTTGCTGTCTCACTGCATGGGTTGCAGCTTTTAATTTCGAGACAAGCTAATGCTAAGCCACCAAACTGCCCTGACTGCCCTGGAACTGGCGCTCCTCCTATCTTGGCCTCCAGAGTGCTGGGACTACACCCATCACTGTGGAGGCCCCAGGGAGCAGAGGGGCCAGCGCAGCTGCGAAGCCCTTAGCAGCCCTTGGTGGCCTGGGGCGGGTCCACCACCTTCCTGTCCCTCACTGATGGGCGAGCACCCTCCAGGGCCGTGAGGGAAAACAGCACCACTCTGTACCAACGCGGCGCACCGGGAGAGCCACTGCAGCTGGGAGCCTGGAGCCTGCGCTGCAGTACTCCGTGCTGCACCCCAGGGGGCCGCTGCGTCCGCTCTGGCTCCTCTGTCGCGTTAGGGGTGGGTGGAGCACCGGGGCTGGCGGGTGCTCACACTCGTTTCCCTGGGGCGCCTCACCTTTCTGCACACCCTGCGAGTTCCTCACGGTCTGCCCTAGACTCTCTCAAAGATGCCTATAACATGGACAGCAGCCAGCGGGTACTGCACGGCCCCTGAGTCAGGGCCAGGCCAGCCTTCGCTTCCTGAGCTGGGGCACCCCTCCGGCAATGTGGAGTGCAGCACGTCTGGGTAAGCGTCCCCGAAAGGCCGGCTCAGCAGCCAGTGTCCGCCCTGTAAGGGGCGGGGTCTGTAAGAAAGGGGCGGGGCCTGCAAGAGGTGGGAGGAAGTCAAGTCGCAGACGCAGCCTGGGAGGACTGCTGAGCTCCGCCTTTGCCTGCTCCCTGGCCCCAGGAGGCGAGCAGCCCTGTGGCTGTGCACTCCCAGCTGCCGCTGTGTCTTACCCGAGGCCGAGGCGGTGGCCCCGGGATGCCAGGCCCCGAACCCCTGGAATTGTGAGCTGCAGCAGATCTTCCCTGTGTTTGACCCAGGCCATACTGCCCTACCCCTGAGCCGCACCACACTTCCCCCTTAAGTCGGTCTAGCTCAGCGTTTGAAGCTAAAACAGCAGCCTACTCTGCTCAGGTGACCCTCGCATACCACTCTGGGGACCTGGGGTGACGCGCGTGCGCGTGGTGTGATAGGAACTACAGGGAATTTGAAAGACAAAATCATTACAAAGACATTCTCATGATCCGCAGCGGCGCGGGAGTCCTCTTTCCTGAGTGTCTGCAGCTGCGCTGTCCTGATTCCTGAACTGACTCAAAATCTTGACCTTTCCCAGTCATTTTCCTTTTGGGGAGGAGCAGGAAGTCCCACAGCACCAGATCCAGTGTCTGAGGTTGGCAAGGCCACAGAGTCCAGGCTTTGTGATCTGCCTTTGTGTCGGATGGCGCTCGGGGACAGCAGTCACAGTATTTTTGATCACACTTGGTAAAGACACTCAGGAAAGACAACTCCAGAGCTGCTGCAGACAGTGGCAATGACGTGGGGTCCATGTGTTCAAGGTGAGAGGGAGGATTTTAAGGGAGATTAATTAATAGTGATGTGCTCTTTACTGTAATCATTTCGTAGTTTAAATTTAGCCAGGCATGGTAGCGTATTCCTGTAATCCCAGCACTCAAGAGACTGAGGCAGGAAGATTGTTGTGAGTTTGAGACCAGCCTGGGCTACACAAAGTGAGCTCAAGGCCAGCTTGAATTGCACAGAGAGACCCTGTTGTAGAAAGACAATAAATAAATAAATTCACACATTCACCATGTTTTTGATCACCCACATAAACTGCCCTTCGCTTCTGGCACAGTGGGCTCCAGGCCCTGCCAACACCCTTGATGGACACCTCTGATGCCAGCAGGATGGAGCCTCAGGCTCTGCCCAGCTCACCATGTGGCATCTACGGTCACTCCGGGTTACACAGACCCTGTGTCCTGTGTGCTGTGGATGGGCAAGGGACCTCCAAGGTGTCCCTGTTGTCCACTCAGAGCCTCCTGGGCAAGGACCGCACCCCTGCTCCCATGCCCAGGTGGAAGAGCCAAGGCTGAGGGACCCACCCTCTGGTGGCCGGCACACCTCAGCCTCTCAGCCATTGGGACAGGCCGAGCTCCCAGTGACCCATGCGGTCGCAGTGCGTCAGGCTGTCAGGCTGCTTCAGAGGTTCCTCAGTCCTGACCCGCAGTTGTGGGGCTGAGACTGTTGCAGGGAAGCTGGCAGCAGGCACAGGCGACAGTGAGTGGGGGACCCTCACAGCCTGGACCCCATCCACGCTGTGGTGGCCCTATGGCTCCGGCAGCAGGTGCCCTCCCAGCCTGGCCCACAGCACAGCTGTTGGAACCAGGACATGATCTGCACGTGCAGGATGCTGTTGCCCACCCTACCCCGTGGGGAGCGGGGCTTGGAGCACCTGAGACCTGGTAGTTTCAGAGACTGAGAGGCAGCCAGACAGATGTACCCTTGCTCACAGGACTCTGCATGGTTTTCTGGGGAAACTGAGGCGGGGAATGGGGGTTCCTCACAGTCCCAGGACTGAGAACCGACCCTGTGCCCTAGGCCCTTTGGGGACAAACAGGATGACAGTGAGGCCATTATCAGGCTCTTGGGGAGCTTGGCCTGGGCAGGGGCCCTGGTCAAGGCCGAGATCACCTTGGGTGCCGCATGTGCAGCCTACACACAGCTTTCTCAAGAGGCTGAGTCAGGGAGTGAGGCCAGGTGGACCTGCCCCTCTGCTGGGACATGAGGCAGCCACTCGTGGACCCCTCCCTGGACCTCGGGCCTTGCGCCTTCCAGGAAAGGCTGGTATTCAGGCTTTGGCTGCCATGGGTCAGACCTGGGCTCTCTCAGGGTGGACAGCACCCAGGGTCAGCGCAGAGCTCCTGCCTGAGGGCCCCACTCACTTGCCTGTGGGCGAGGCCCTCAGGGGTCACTGCGCCTGCCCACCCACCTGTGTGGCCTGGATGTTCACGTTGCCTTCCTGCAGGAGCTGCCAGACCACAGCCAAGTCCTCGGTGGTCTCTGCAGACGCCAAGGGCGTGATCATCACGGCGGTGTAGCCAGCTTTGTTCTGGTGGTCCACGGCGCAGACGCCTGTGAAAGGAGCCAAGCACTTGGCCAGGGCAGCAGGGTGCTGCAGCCGCTGCTGCTATAATTCTCAGATTGAAACAATGAGGCTTATTCCACATAGAATGAAAAACAAGCCTATGTGCAAAGATGTAGTCAATGAGAATTTAAAACGAAAAAAGCATCCAGGAGCTGAGGTGGATCAACATGAGTTCAAGACCAGCCTGGGCTACACAGCGAGGCCCTGTCTCAATAAAGCCTCCTCGTGGCCCTACAGATTGCTGCTACACAGGCCTGGGCTCCACAGCCCCTCCAGCAACACCCCCCCAGGTGTCACATGGCTCTCGTGGACCTCCACAGTGTCCTCAGCAGGGTGCCCTCCCTGTGGGAGGGGAAGCATGGAGCCATCCCTCAGATGGCAGGGTCATTTCTAGGGACCTTGCGCATGTGGTGACAGATGTGGAAAAGCCAGGTTGGCTGGGACTGGCTGCTCCTGGGAGTCCTCGTGCATGGCAGGGGAAGCAGCCACCTCCTGGTGCCGCCAACCTGGGGAGACCAGCCGTGCACCCTGCCCAACCAAGCTGCACTCTACCCTGTAGTCCTTTCTGTTTTCTCTGAGACAGGCCCAGCCACCACCTCCACTGAGCCCCTGCCCTGCACCCCAACTCAGGACGAGTCCTTGGGCCTGAGCTAGAGCAGGCTCCGTGCCCACTTTTAGTGGTAGCCACGTGGCAGCACCACCCAGCTCTCCCATGGCCATGACCTGTGACACTCCACCACAGAAGGTGCCTGGTATCAGCCATTCCTTAGTGCAAGGTGGCGGGGTCTACCGCGCCCAGAGGCAGAAGCACCCCAGGAGCCTGGGCAACACGGCAAGACCCGGGCTCTTAAAGAGAAAGAATGGCCCCGAGGAGGGACGGAGGTGCCGGCTGACCTGTGTCCAGCAGCAGCTTGGCGACAGAGAAGTTGGAGTGGGACAGGCTGTAGTGCAGCGCTGTGTTCCCGTTGCCATCTGCCAGGTTGACCAGCAGCCCCAGGAGATGTGGGGAGAGTGGCTGCACCCCGAGGAGGTAGGCGGCCACCACGGCCGGGCTGGATGACTTCCGGCTGGACACCCGGAACCACTCTTGGCTGACTGTGTTCCAGCTTTTGCCCTGAGACCCCAAAAATCCAGTTCCACAGGGTCGCCCAGGCTGGTTCCCCACCAGGGACCTGGAGACCAGGACGTGCCAGCATGGGGTCCTTGTGCCTCCTCATTGCCTCCCCATACCCCCTCAATAGCCACATGAGTGCAGTGACACACTTGGGACATATGTGCTGACCCCCAAGAGAGGAGGCAGGGACACGTAGCTACTGGCACCGGGACATGGCCCTCGCCAGGTGACCAGCTGACAAGTGCCTGGTGTAGCACCTTGTGTTCCCAAGGACTCAGCTCACACCTCCCGGCCTCCACCACACCCAGACCACACCTGCCTCGAGAGCAAGCTGGACCTTGGCTGCACTGCCGGGAGGTGGGTGCTGACTGCCAAGCTGGTCAGCACCCTAACTCGAGCCGGAAGTAGAGCCCAACCTAATGCCCCTCAGTCTCGGCTCTAAACTCTGTGAGGCCCTTCAGGGTGATAGGGCCCACAGCCCATGGCCGGGCTCCACCCGCAGCCCTGCAGGACCTGGTGAGGATGGAGGGCTGGGGTGACGCACCTTCAGATGGTCACTATAGGACAGGTGGAGCTCCCTTGGGCGGCTGCTGCAGACTCCACGCCCTCTCCTGACTTGGGGTCAGTGCAGCCCTGGCTCACTGTGGGACCCGAAGTCATGCACCTCCTGAACCTTCTCTCCCCATGGTAGAGGAGGCCAGCTCCTGCCTCCCACAGCTCTGCTGTGGGAGTCCTATACACCCTACTTTTGCAGCCAGGAATGAGGCTGCAGGGCTGGGATCCTGTGTTTGGATCCAGACACTGTGGACCGGTGTGGACCTGGTGCAGACACAGCCTCTGGTCACATTTCCAGAGTGAACAGGGATCATTTCATGTGTCAGAGGATGTCTGCTACGTGGCATCTCCATTCACACAAAACCATCTCCTGCCACGGGCCACCTGCTCTACCCGTGGCACACCAGCTATCCTCAGGACGTCTCCTGCATCCACAGAATACTACCATCTCCTCCACTAACGTCCCCCGGCTTGCCAGAGAACAGTAAGGAGATTGTAGCGGGTTTTCCATGATGAGCTAAAACTGAAGTTAGTTCTGTGCTTTGTTTAGGGATAAGGGTAAGAGTTGTACTCAGCATCCCCCCACTTGTTGGTTCCTTAACAGCCTGGGGAAGATTTGTCAAGTAGGTGAGATAAGGAAAAGGCCTGGGTGGGTGCTATGTGCACTCCTAGGTGTCCGGGCTCCCCGCTGAGCGCGGATGGGTTTCAGATGCCTCTGGCTGTGCCACCATGGGTCCCTAGGTCTCTCGTGACTTAGGCCAGTGCCCAGCTGGGGCTGTGGTGAGAAGGGCAGCCTGACCCTATGTCCCCATTTCCATGGGCTCCTGAGGTGGGAAAGAACAGGGCATTTCCTGGGATTTGGTCTGCTGGCCAGAATGAGAGTGCGTTTCGTGGGCAGTGGTAAGGGTCGCAGAGTCCACGTGGTAAGGATCACAGAGTCCACATCAGGGCCAAGGGCAATAGGCACAGGTTGCCCCACTTGTGGCTGATGGGGACATGGCTCAGCCTGGCTCTCAGAGGGTCCTGGAATTGAACTCACTCTGCCAAGGCCTGGGACACCAAAGAGCTGACGACAGACCCTCTGACAGACTCTGTGGGGGCGCTGCCTGATCTGAGACCCAGGCCACCTCGGCACTTCCCTCTGTACTTCCTCAGCCTGCTCCGTCACTCTGCCACCCCAGCAATCCCCCACCAGCCCCTCAGCTGTCTGCATGCAGCAGTGAGAAAGGACAGTACCAGGAGTGGGTCCACGGCTGCGGCTTCTGGTGGGTGTTGGCTCAGGGCCCGGCATGCGCTGAGGAACTCTTCTGAGGGTTTGCTTCTATAGAGAGAACAGCACAAGTATGTTTATACCACTTAACACCTCCTCTTTCACTTTACAGCCAACACCGCCATCCTCAGCATCCTGATAACCATGCCTGGCTTTAGGACTGTCCTGAAGGATACACGATCCCTGCCCATCCTGCTATATGTGTGTTCAGGATGGAGGAGCCCAGTGTGCAGGGACGGCGGCCAGCTGCTGTGTCCCATATTGAGCAGGGGTCACCTTCCTCATGCTGCACCCAGGAGCTCCCACCCCACTGCACCTCAAGCCTTGGGTCTCCCTCCACAGGGCCATCAGAACTTGGAGCCAGGCAAGAGGCTCACACAGTGGCACCACAGGGACAAAAGGGTTCCCTGCAGTGGGAGGAGGGCAGGCGTAGGCCTGGCCATGTAGGGCTTGGTGGCCTGGCCAGAGAAGCTCATCTAGCCCTGTGGCCCTGACAGCCAGCTGTGTTCCCACACCTCCAGGCCAAGGGTGGGGATGGTGACCGCAGTCTTTAGCCATCCACAGCTGCCTCACAGGACTAAGCAGTTACTTTTCCATGTGACCTTCAGATCCCACCCCTCAGGTTGTGTGCTCCCCATTATTCAGATGAGGAAAGTCAGGCAGCCATAGATCAAGTACCTGGCCCAACATGGCCATGGCAGAGGCGGACTGTGGGTCCTTTGTGTCACAGCTACAATGGCAGCTTTCTACCTCTGGTCATAAGACCCCCAGTGTTGCAGAAGATGGGGCTATGTCCACGTGGCTGATGAGGTTGACAGTAGAGCTTGGGGAGAAACTGGAAGGCTGTACTGCTGTACCTCTACGCCTCAGTCTCTACATCTGCAGAGTGGGGTGCAGAACTGCTCAGGGGACCACACACTGTAACAGTCACAAGGTCCTTCCATTGCCAGGGTAAAGGGACATTGGTTTTGTATGGAGAGATCAACGCTGACAATGGTCTGCCATGGCAGGGGTCACAGGTGTCCATTGTGGACAGGGTGGGAGCCTGAGCAGAAACAGAAATTCTGTGGACACTGCCATGTGGGTGGATGGGTGGGTGG